GTTTAAGGCCAGGTTGGATGAGACTTTGAGCAACCTAGTCTAGTGGAAGGTGTCCCTGCTGATGGCAGGGGGGTTGGAACTGGATGATCTTTAAGGTCCCTTCCAACCCAAACCATTCTATGATTCTATTATTCTATGATAGATGTGACTTGCATTTTTTTATATGATGGGCAAGAGCCAGTACATGATAGGGAGAAGCCATGACATGCATCTCCTCCAAGTACCTCACAAAGAAATGTGTTCATAAAAAGGAAGTTATTTTGGTATTTATCCTTTGCAGAGCCCTGGTGAGGTTTGATCAGGCAGAAAAGCAACACAAAGGTCCCAGCCACTTTGCAAACTAAAGTGCAGTTGGTACACTGAAAGGCGTGTCTTTAAGCACTAGGGCAGCTCTCATACTAGGCCGGAAGACTGAAGATCAAAAGGAAACCTAAGAGGTGAGACACCTTTCAAGGGAGTAAGTTGCTAGGGACAGACCCAGGTGATGTCAGTGATCTGTGACTATGTATGATACATGTCGAGGCAGAGAGACTCTGCAAAAGAATCTCTAGGAATGTGGTTTTCTGGAGTCCTGACACAGGGACAGTTAAATATCTGTTGAGCTAAACATTTATGGAACCTGTTTTCCTCTGACATATTTAAGGTGTATGTAAAAGATAGCTCATATTTGGCTTTACAGAGGCTGTCTCAGCACTATTGATAATAATTGTTAACCTTAATAGAAACAGTGACAAAAGTCCTGTGCCCATGGTAATCCTACTGTGGTACGTCATAGCTGAGATAAAGAACTGGAGCCCAAAGCAGGGTCCAAGACAGTATGAACTATGTGAGTATGGGAATATGTGTCACAGAGTGATGTTCCATTTCAACTCATGATGGCATTAAGCTCAGATCTGGCAGCTGTGACTGAAAAATTGAAAATACACATTTCCCAGGGTTACCCCTGAAGGTGTTGCCATGGGAGATACTAGGTGATTTGCAGTGTTGCCAACTCCTGTGATTTTATGATGAGTCATATTTTCTTGAAGATCAAGCTCCTGGATTCTAGTGATTTATTGTCTTTTTATCTTTTAATTTTGTAAGTTAGACAGTAAATCCAACCCTCCTGTTTATGGTTAAAGTTTCAAAACATGACTGAAATGTGCTCCAAGAGTCCAGGCAGCAATGGCAAATAAAGGAGAACCCAGCAGTTGTTTTTTGGTTGGGTTTTGTGGCGGGAGGCAAGGGGGAGGTTTCCCCTTCCTTTATTTCCATGATCTCTCTGCCTAGTCTTGTGATTTTGTAACTCATTATTTTTTAATCTTTGAGGTTGATTATGGCTGTGTCTTCCGTATTACTGCACTGAACATAATCAGTATATGTAATAACCATCAGGATATAGCCAGGTCATAAAAGTAAAGTTCGACTCACACATTTATCTTGACTCCTTCCCTCCTGCAATTAACTCATCAATTCTTGTACGGCAAAGAATGTGTTTTTGCATCATCACCTCTCCACTTTCATGATGCTGGCAGTGTCCCCATCACTTATCAAAGTTCTACTGAGGTTATAGATCATGTACCAGGGGCTGTATGCAAAATAGAATCATAGAATCATAGAATCATAGAATGGTTTGGATTGGAAGGGACCTCAAAGATCATCTAGTTCCAATCCCCCTGCCTTCAGCAGGGACACCCTCCACTAGGTCAGGTTGCTCAAAGCCTCATCCAGCCTGGTCTTAAACACTTCCAGGGAGGGGGCATCAACAACTTCTTTGGGCAACCTGTTCTAGTGTCTGACCACCCTCACAGTGAATAACTTCTTCCTAATATCTAATCTAAACCTGCCCTCTTTCAGTTTAAACCCATTTCCCCTTGTTCTGTCATTAACTGCCCTTATGAAAAGTCCCTCCCCAGCTTTCTTGTAGGCCCCCTTCAGGTATTGGAAGGCCGCTATGAGATCTCCCCGGAGCCTTCTCTTTTTCAGGCTGAACAGCCCCAACTCTTTCAGCCTGTCTTCATAGGAGAGGTGCTCCAGAAAAAATGCTGTGTTTAGTACTGTTCTGGCAAAACCTGATGTCATTCTGTTGGATGAGAAAGTAATAGAGCTTGGACATTCTTCATAGTTGCTACTGTGCTTTACAACCACTGAGACATGATGTTGTGGAGCTGGGCTCTTTGGGGAGAACAAGGACAATCTCCTTCAAGGCTTTCTGATAAAGGCATCCTCCTTCTTGCAGATTTCTGTGATGTAGTGGAGTAAAGTTTTAAATTGAAGTCTCTCCCATCAGGTGGAATTATTTCACAGCAGCTGAGTAGTTCAGTCACCATCCCAACATCTCCTTCAGCATTTTTTTTTTTAAAGAGATGGGCTCTATCTGCTCAGCAATGCTATTTTATATGTATTCATGTGCCAGAGGCACTGGATGAGAGAAGAGAAATGCAGTAACTGTGTTTTACAAGATAAGAGTAAGAGAAATTTTCTGCTGTTTCTGAAATGCATCCTAAGTCATAAAGTTTTCCAGTGTAGATATTCCCAAAAAGACAGCGTGTTGGTTTGGGCTTTGTTTAAATGATGTTGGTTTTTGAGATTTCTGTAAGGATACTAAAAAATAAGAGGAATGTAAACTATAGCCTGAGGCTTCAATGAAAGTTACACATCTGCAGACACAGACACAAAGCAAACAGCTTGAAGACAATACTTGGGTGAGGCACACTGTTTATAAGGTCCTGAGAAATAAAAAAGATGTGAACCATAGAGTAAAGCTGTTGTCCTGCAAGCCTGGCTCCACCAGAACCCATGGAGTTGATATTTCTTATGTGGCTGCTCTGTTGTCTTTTCCATACTATCCAGCCTACATGTTGGCTTGCACGTTCCATGCATTTTAACCACGGTGACTGATCTATGCTGAACTGATTGGTTGAAAGCTTCATAGCCAAGAAACCACAGTCTTTTATTTGGAGCCCTCTCCGTGGACAAGAAAGCAAGGAAAGCTAGAATTAGGTTTCCTGTAGAAGTCAAAATAAGAAAACTAACATTAGAGAGTAGATGGCAAAACTCAAATTTTAGGAGACAGGCGCACATTTTAGGATGGCCTCCTTTAGATGTGCAAATCTGTGTTTTCTGTGTTGACTT